GATATTAAGAATGTCTTCAGACCGCGTGGACACTTTTGGATGCCGGCTACGATGTTACCATCGTCGCTGAGCGTTGGGCGGATCCTAAAAACCGAATTACATCTCAGATTGCCGGCGCTCTTTGGGAATTTCCACCAGCTGTTTGTGGAAAGCACACTGATGTATACAACTTGCTCCATGATTTGATCGTGTTCTTACCTTCAATCGCAGGTCATCTCCCTTCACAACTCGAAACGCTGGTGCATGACCGCGTACCGTGCTTTCGATAAACTCCAGGAGATCATGCCTCGCGACGACTACCTCGATCACGGCGTGCAGATGCGCATGGCCAACTTTTTCTTCGACCAGAAGATGGAAGATATGCCTGACCGCGGCCAGCTCGACAAGTTCGAGGAGATCATGGCGCAGAAAGATGTATGCATCTTTAACTCTTTCTGTGAAAGCAACGATACTGATCAGTATGCCAGATCAAGGGCGTCAGACGCGATGCCAACATCGTACACGAACACGAAGTGAATCAAAAGGCCGGTGTTGTCGACGCCTATCAACACCTCGCCCCAGTCATCGACACCGACGCCTACATGCACTGGCTCAGATTCGTCCTCGTTTGCAAAGGCGCCGTTATGGAGACGCGTCGCATCAATGGCGATCTTCTCCACCAGGAGGAAGAGCTGCTTGCGGAGTACGGTGCTCACGCCATTATCAACGCGACTGGCTTGGCCGGCCTTGAACTCGCTGGCGACGAGTCTGTCTACCCACTTCGCGGCGCTCTCATCCGCGTCGTCAACGACGGAACCAAGTTCCCGAAAGTGACGGAAGCCCTCGCAGTCACTCACGATGATACTCGAGGCGAGGACGAAGACATTGTCTTCATCGTCCCCCGCAACGATAACACTCTGATCCTTGGAGGTGAGCTTACAGCAGCCTTGCTCTTGTTCCAGAATCGAAGCTCATCTTACCCTCTTCAGGATTGGCCCAGCCTCATAAATATGAACTCGACCTCACGCTGGACAGCCCCGAGATTATTCGCATGCGCCAGCGCTGCAACAACTTTGTCCCCGGGTTGGAGCACGCCGAGTATGACCCCGACGCACCCTTGGTACAAGGCCTCCGCCCATTCCGTGGCTCCAACGTCCGCGTTGAGCGCGAGCTCCGCCCGCGAAGTGATGGTTCCGCTAGCCGCATCGTGCACTCCTACGGCCAAGGTGGCGCTGGGTTCTCCCTTTCTTTTGGATGCGCCAGCGACGTGTTGGAGCTCATTGAGGAGATGGAAAAGGGACTGCCTGCGTTGAAGATGACCTGCAGATTACGCTAGGTGTAGGTACGTACTTACTCGGAAAGGCTGCGATAAATTATTCCATATTTATATAACGAGTTGTTCTTCTATTTGCTTGAGGGTGTTCAAATGAATGGATTTTAAAGTTTTGTATGCCGAGGTACTACTGGTCTGTTGTCGTCTCAAACTAACCCCAGTACGGGAACGCCACCATTCCAATGCTGGAACTACGTCTTCGACTCTCGTGTTCACATCCTCAACATTGTGTAGGGCTCCCTGTAAAGGTGACCATCGAGATTTCCAGCTTCGCCGGCTGTCCCTCTTTCCCATCGTGGCTCGTATTCGAAACGTTGAGTAGACCGCGTAACATCTGTAGAAATCGTAGAATCAAAATGAAGGAGAGCCTATACAAGATACAAAAGAGAGTGGGCTTTTCCTGACTAGGTAGTAAAAAACATATACACTATAGTGTATGCGTAGGAGAAAGAGACGGTATACTAATGACCCGAATAGTTGTACATATTCCCCAAGACCCAAAATTCGTAAAACGCGTAAAGTGACTGTGGTCGTAGATCAAAGCAAACCGTTCCTAGCGAGATACTCGAATCGCCCTTCACCCTCTTGTCGCACAGGTCCTCCTCCCGAGTACGCCGAGGAACTCTCCCATCCCTCCGTAATATCAAAAATGTTCATCCGCTCCCATAAAAAGCGTTTGGCAGCAGCTGACTCGTCTGCTGCCTTTCCCTGCTTCTCCTGGCCGACCTCCTTCAACGCAGCGCGAGCGTGCGTGTTATGGGTCCGCAGCTCATCGTGATTGGGGACTATAGCTTCCATTGTCGGCGGCCTAGCATTTTCGGTCGCGGGATTTACCGCATCGGCCTTGTACTTTCGGCGCTTGCTTGGAGGGTGCGATACTCGTGGGGTCACAGCAGGAGAAGACAACTGAGGTGCCACCAGCGGAGCAGGAGGTCGTACAGCAGCCGTACGAGTGGCCAACTTGGGCTTGCGTGATGCTTGCTTAGTGGGCTGGGAGGAAACTTTGGGCGTGGGATGGTAATTTTCTGGGAACACGCGATAATCTTTCGGCGCTCGCATGGGAGGCGATGCTGGGGACTGGTTTGGTTTCGGTGAAGGAAGAGTGTTCACGGCTAGAGGTCGCTTGGCGGCCGGTTTGGACAGGGAAGTAGTTGTGGCGTGTTTAGGCGGGCGATTTTCTTTTCCTCTGGGAACATTGGAGTGCTGGAAGTCCTTGCGCTCCCACCAAGCTGTGAGCACGCTTTGCGGCAGAGAGGAATAACGTGTCGAGAGGGATTTGGCAGCGCTAGGGAGGGAGAGTCGGAACAGATCGTGTTCTTTCGCGTACTGATAGACGCTCTTCGCCAAGACGTCCGGGTCTCTGACGCTCCGATCCTGTCCTGATAATATTTGGCGGTTGTGCTGTTCGAGCAGTTCACGTAGGCGCTGCTGCGATCGCTCGTGCAGGATAGTAGGGGTAGAATCGCGGTTGATGGTGACTAGAGGTGCCATTGCTACATACACTTTGGTTAGTTTGAGCCAAATTAGGCGCATATATGCGTACTTTAGGGCGAGTAGAGTGTGTAGAATCCTAGACACTCGGAATCAGTATCGACACCCGTACGAGTGCATTTGAGCGTACTTGATCAAAGGCGAGAAAAGGATTGGTTTGGCGGCGAGGACAACGCCGAAGCAAGACGTCGAACGCGTCGAGGGGATGGCGCTGATGGTGGTAGGAAAGAAGCACGCAAAGCCTACGTCACGAACTCGCGTCTTTTCTACTCGATCGCAGTGCTCCTATTTCCATTTGTGGCGTTGTTCCGACAAAGACAGTACATGGTCGAAGGGACGAATGGAAAAAACTGTTCAACTCGCAAGGCAGAATGTCGCCACACTACAGTTTGATGAACCATAAAGCCGAAAAGATATGCCGATCGTTGTCAAAGCACCCCCAGGCGCTAGTCCAACCACGAAGGAATACTGCATTGACACTGTTCGTTTTGTTAAAGAAGTCATGGTAAGAGATACATGGTAAACGATTAATACCTATTGTTTAAACGCAGCCTTTTCGAGCTTGCAATCGTTTTCCGTATTGCGTGCTAAGTACTGAGCGAACCCTACTGAAGGATGGCACCTGAGTCATCGAACGAGTGTATATAACTGGCACTCACATAAAACCACACTTTTCTAAAATGAACACGTCAAAACGATCCTCGATGTTCTTGGGCCTCGTAAGCATTACTAGCTTGCGCCCTTGAAGCGCCATCCAAATACATCCTTGCCAATTTTCACCTCTACCCTTTCCGCCTCGAAGAAATTGGCTTTGCCAGCCAAGGCGGCCTGATATCGTTCGTTCAGAGTTTTCGTAGGGAACGGCGGCGTATCTCCGTTTACCAGTGCCCAGGCAATCGATGCGTGATACCGCGGAGCGTCGTAGTATTCCTTTTGTCGAAGATGCCGTAGCAGGGGCTTAAGACCATCCGATAGACGCACAAGCTCCTCATGCCCCGCACCGACCTCCACAGCGAGAAACGTACGAGTCCGTTCGTCATTCGTCAGCTCTGCAATCGCAGCAAACGAAAGCGTGAATCTAATCGCCCTTTAGCTATACACAGTCACTAAAAAAATGGTACGCACGGTGCAGTCTTGTCAGCTAACCCCTTCACAGCACATTTCAAATCATCCCTCTGATATGCCCTCAAAAAAATCGGCCTCGACAGCGACACGTGCAGCTCAACCGCTTTCTCTGCAACCCAAAAGCCATTCAGAGTGGGAACATCGCAGCGCGCGGTTTGTATCACTTCGTTGAGCAACGTATACAGCGATGAGCGCCTGCTGAGCTTGAGAGCGACGTAAACGTGAGAGGCCCATTGTCCGTCGACGTGCGGTGTGCTGCGGACGCGGCCTTGGTGTAGCGCTGGGTCGTCGATGGGGGCCGGGACGATGAGGGAGGAGGAGAGGGTGGGCAATTTTCTGTTGCATCTGTTAGTCGATGAAGAATGAGTGGAGCGCGACGGACCTGCGCTTTGGACGCGATTTGCCGTCGGCGTTGGCGTCGTCGCTGTCTGAGCTGGAATATTCCACCAGCGACGCGCCTCGTTTGGACATGGAGGTGCGGAAGAAAGGTCCGTCGGGACACCGGCCCGGTACACTGTTACACTTTTTACATTTCTGACTCTGAATTATTTCCTCAACTTCTTTAAATTGTCATCTCTTCAAGTCTCTAGCTGATCTGCATCCTTGCACGTCGGCTCCCACAAGAACTGCTCGACGAAACTGTCGACCTGCTATTCGATGACCACCCCTCCCTCTAGGCACTGGCGTGTACAGCCCAGTGTCTATGAGACCGCTCACAGGCGCTCCTATTCCACGAATTGGGTTTGTCGCCAAACACGGCGTCGCCCTCAAGTCTTCTCGAAATGTCACCCCACATACTACTATCATACGTTTACCGACTTCGAATCGTTGCCACCGAGCTCCTCAGCTCTATGACTCCTCTCAAATGCCTAAGGCTATACGTTCATGAGGATGGGCCGCCTTCGAGCTGATGCAAATGCTTAGCCTAGATGCCTTCACCAGCCAGGTGGTCTTCTTCCCACTATAGCCTCTCCCAGAGTCCGCAGGCTTAGTCTCAATCCGACGACGGTTGTCTTCTCTATCGCCTGGTCAAGGCCTTGGCTACATCTCTACAGACTTAACATTCCCAACATTGGATATGGTGTAATGGCTAACACTAGCGCGTCTCATGCCTCGATGATGTTTTCCTCGCTGCGCGCTGGCTCGGGGTTCGATTCCCCGTATCCGAATGCCAATTGCTTGAAATAGATTTTTGTGCTAGTTACAGTGATGCTCCAGCCTCCAACTTCTTTTCATTTTAGGGTGGCGCAGTAAACCTACACACCCGGTAAGTAACCGTTTTGAACATCTACGCGCCCTGCGTCTCCCAACTGAAATACTCACTCTCAGTGCAGGACGGGAACGATTGACGGCGGAGGTACCTCTCTTTCCGTTAGTGAGAGTGCGGTCACTCTATCTAGGTTTGCCGACTTCCGGACCATCTTGGATAGAATGGTGGCTCAGCAATCTGACGGTTGACCTGATGTTTACGGAAGGTCACACGAGCTGTTGACCGCCGCTTGGACGGATAAAATGGCGATCTTGAAGGGTCTACCAAGGCTAAAGTCACTCGATATAAAGACATCTGCGGTGAATGGGAGAAGGAAGTGGTTCCTGAGAGTAGGGTACGTATACTTATACCACGATTCATGTATCTGGCCGGCATTCCTGAAGGGACGGTGCCGTGTAAGTATGGAATCGAGTGACATACCCATGGTACTGCTCTAGCGCGTCCACAAGCTTGTTCCACCTCGCGGGATCCATGTGCTCCCTCCAATGAGCAATCTTCTCAATGCGACGCCAGATCTCGCTGGTCGTCTTCTCTAGTTGCCTGGCCAAGACCTTGGCTGCATCTCTACAGATTCGTGGCCACAATCTCTTTCTACCTTGGCGGGAGTTTGTACCCTAGCCTTCTAAACTTTGCATATCAGATATGGCGTAATGGCTGACTTTAGTGCCTGGTATTTGGCTGCGCGCTGGTTGGGGGTTCGATTCCCCGTATCCGAATAGATATTGCTCGAAATATTTTTTTGCGCTAGTTACAGTGATGCTCCAGCCTCCAACTTCTTTTGAATCTTTTCGTTAGGGTTGTGCAATATATTCCCCAAGGCGGTTAGTAACCTCGGCGGAATATACCCTCATTTTAGGGTGTGTTATTAACAGTTAGTAACCATTAATAACCTCCATGTGATGCAATGTGGCGTATTTTCCTTTTCAGGCCCTCAAAAACTCCTCTAGTGGCTTCAAAATGGTCTAGTTTGAGTTCTACTTATCTTCTTTATGTATATATGTGGTCCAGCAGCTCATTACCGGCCCTCTTGCCTGGAAATCACCCTCCTCCTCACTGATCCCGCCCCGACGCACCTGCTCACCTGACTACATCATGTGATAGGTTAATAACCGCCCAAAACTTAAAGTTACTGGTCTCGGCGGGGCTGTTAATAACCCGGTTAATAACCGTTATTAACCGGTTAAATATCGAACGGTGCGATATTCGAGGCTGCGCAACCCTATCCAACTTCTTCTCGTTCGACATGTCATGTTTTCAGGGTGCTCGAGGTGTAGCCTGGCGCAGAGGCCTGGGACGTGATGGAATGGAACATGTCTAGGAAGCCCCAATGTGGGCGAGGGAGACGGGAGTGTTGAGGACACGGGATTCCCGACACAGTCGCGTCGATTTGGACGAACAATTCTTCTGATGCTGATGATTCTTTCATTTAAAACGGGGGGGGTGACTGAAGGCAAGTACACAGCTTTTCGGAGAACAGTGGTTCAACTAAAGGTTCTCAATCAGGCGTGCCGCCACAACTATTCGGGTCATAGTAAGTATATACGCCGTGCACGTCTTTCGCCTACGTCTACACTATAGTGTATATATTTTATCTACCGATCCCCTGGACAAGTCCAGTCCCTTCTGTATATTGTATAGGCTCTCCTTCTACAATTTCTACAGATGTTATGCCGCGTCTACTCAGCCTTTCGAGTACGAGCCACAATGGGAAAGAGGGACAGCCAGCGAAGCTGGAAATCTCGATGGTCGCCTTTCATGCAGAGAGCCCTATGTATGCAATCGTTGAACAGGTAAATCCGACGGTCAAGGAATGTCTTACAAATCTAAAGCTCATCAGACGAGATATTCAATGTTACGACGAGGTTAACTTACATTGGGTCCCAACAAGCGTGTAAAGCGAGCCAATGCCCTAGATGCAGCTCGTCAGTAGGGTTATACAGCGGAACGAACGGGAGACACTGACTGTAAACAGATGCCACCATGAATGTCCTTGGGACAACGCATCAGATAGAGTTAATGAACAACGAGTCGTAATCACCTTCCAACAAGAAAGCCGCTGGCCACCCAATCGAAGTCTTCCACACGGTCAGCTTGTCGCAAAAGATATTGTCCAAATTCCAAATGAAAAACCCAAACACGAAAAGCTCTGCGCCCAATGTGTAGATGTTGCCAATCTGAGCTCGCTTCTCCTCGGGTATCTTCAGCCGGGCCTCTGACCACTTGACGAGGTACGCGACGCGCGTGACACAGCCAAGGACGATTGTCCCAAACACGATTTGGTGGTAAATGGGGTTTCGGTATAGGATGCTAGAGAGAGCGTATAAGCGACTGGGAATGATGGTGAGAGGAGGAAGGGTTCGTACTAGGACCAAGTGAAGAGGGCGTCGAAGAGGATGATGAGGATCATAGTGGTCACGGTACGTCGGCTTTTCATGTTGAAGCCCGGCGCGTTGTCGTAGAGACACCACAGGCTCGTCGTCGTGCCGTAGATCATCGGGAGCTCGTCGGCGAGTTGGTATTGGAAGAGCAAAGTCGCGTGGAATGCGAAGCTCCCGATGCCGACGATGGCGAAGCCCTATTAGGTGGTGAGTTGACGTGACGGGACGGGGAGGGAGGGGAGGGCGGCGTACCACGTAACCGGCGGTATACCGCGTGGGGAGGGATTCTTTTAGGACGTGTCGGAGGCCGTAGAGCGCGAGGGCGATGGTGAACAGGTTGGAGAGCGAGTTGGCCATTTCGGCGATGTAGAAGGAGAATTGGTAGTTGGCCTAGCGAGGGTGAGTGTTGTGGGATGTGGTGCATGTGAGGACGCGCGCGTACTTCGCACCAGTCCAATGTGGCGGTTATGGGACCGTGATAGCCGGGGTAGTTTATGGCAAGAGTGGACGAGGCCATGGGTAGGGAGTAGAGAACAAGGAGAGCGTGTATATACAGAGAGCAGACGCGACGGCAGACAGTTTTGTTTCGGCGATGGTGGCGACTGGAAGAAAGGATGACTGAGCCGAGTAGAGTAATGATTAATCCTAGCATGCCGTGACATGCCGAGACATTGGGACAGGCGAGCCCGGACAGCTACAGATTATTGAAGTTATTCAATCTCGAATTTGAGAATAAAACAGCAGCGTATAGGCGCATTTTGTTGATTATCCTCCACAGACTGCCAAGGCAGCGATCGGGCCGCTTCTTGCTCTTGACCATCATCATCGTTCCAACTGCTCACGAATGTTTTCGAACAATCTCTGGTATGCGTATTGAAATTTGACAGTGCTATGAACGACGCTTCAATACAAAGGTTGTCCACTTGTATTCTGAGAAACCACCAGACTCAACGGACGGCTAGTCTACGCTCCGGTTACTGTGGCCGTCTATTTCTGATGCTCAGAAATCTCTTGAAGGGCATCGCATCCGGTAGTCTTCTACCATGGTTGTGGCCATGTCAATGATGGCCTCGAACCCTTTGGATTTCCTGAATATGGTACACCCACATCTATCGCTTCCTTTCTTCTCCGTTCTCAGCCCTATCAAGAATCTACCGCGTGCCACTGCCATGGTTCTCCGACGTCTGGAGATGGCTGGAACACGCCTCCAAGTCAGTGCAAATTTGCTTCCTACCCACGAGTTCAGCTCTGTCCTACCGAGTCGGACTAATACGATACGTTCTCCATCCAAGCAGGTCCATGTGATATTCGCGCACCCGGTTTCGCACGTGGTCGATCATATAAGGGGTTTCCCCAAAGTTTACCGCCTGTTGACACCGGACTACCATGGCTTACGACCTGGCCAATCTCCCCTTCGATGGGGCGATGCTGTTCTGGCGCATTGTCCTCACCATATTCTTTCGCGAGATCAGGCCAAGGGGAGCGTATAACATACCCAGGTCGGGACCGGTCATATTCGTTGGGGCACCCCATCATAACCAGGTACGTGGTTTGGTGACGAAACCCAGGCTGTTGCTGATGAACGATAGTTTCTGGATCTTAATCTTAGCTTGGAGGTATACAAGGAGACGAATCGACATGTACAATTCTTGGTGGCCGCGAAAAGTATGGAAAGAAAGTTTGTTGGATTCTTTTGTCGATTAATGGACTGCAGTACGTTTTTTCGAGTTGACCATTTCTGTTTCTGACATGGCTTTTAGTTCCCGTCATCCGCGCGACCGACTCTGCGAAAACTGGCAAAGGCAAGATACGCCTGTCCCCCGACGATCCGTGTCTCGTCATAGGCGAGGGCACTCAGTTTACCTCCACCTTCAAACCCCGTATGCAGATCATGCTTCCCCGCGCTCTAGGCTCCTTGGTAGCCGAAGTGGTGGAGGTTATATCCGACGACCAATTACGCGTCAAAAAGGAGTTTGGAGGTGAAAAGGGTACATCCAAAGTCCGAGAGCGGGATGAGGCTGTCGACTACAGGGCGCTACCCTATGTGGATCAGCAGGAAATGTATCGGCACGTTTACCAGTCCTTGCAGAATAACGGCAGTATCGGAATCTTCCCTGAAGGTGGATACTTTTGTGGATGCCTATTCATTCGTAATTGAAAACTTTTCACAGGTGGAAGTCACGACCGCACGGACCTTCTCCCCCTCAAAGCTGGTGTGTCGATAATGGCTCTCGGTGCGATGGCCAACAACCCCGACCTCAAAGTCAAAATCGTCCCCGTCGGCCTTTCCTACTTCCATGCGCACAAATTCCGCTCGCGTGGTGTTGTCGAGTTCGGCACGGCGTTCGATGTCCCGTCCGAGTTTGTCGAGTCGTTCAGGAAGGGCGGCGCGGAGAAGCGGGACGCGGTGCAGCGGTTCCTTGATCTCATCTATGACGCGCTGAAGACTGTCACGGTGCGCGCCCCGGATTACGACACGCTCATGTTGATACAGGCGATACGGCGATTGTACAAGACGCCGTTTGAGCATCCGACGCTGGGGCAGGTTGTGGAGATGAATCGAAGGCTGTTGGAAGGATATCAGGTGTTCAAGGACGAGCCGCAGGTGGTACAGCTGAGGAAGGACGTCCTCAAATACAATCGAATGCTGAGGGATTTGGGATTGAGGGACCATCAGGTCCCGCGGGCGAGGAAGGCCAGTTTGTCAGCCTTGGGGCTGTTGGGCTACAGGACGTGTCTGTTACTCGTGTGGACGACGCTGGCGCTCCCTGGCACTATCCTTAACGGGCCACTGTTGATCCTGGCGTCGATACTATCTAGACAGAAAGCCAAAGGTATGTGACCTCGCTTTCCTCGTTTGACGTAATTGACTCAAACCTATTTTTCAGAGGCATTAGCCGCATCAACCGTTAAGATTGCTGGACGAGATGTGTTGGCAACGTGGAAAGTATTGATATCGATGGGGCTCGCTCCCGTCCTGTATGGTTTTTACGCGGCGTTAGCGACATTACTGGTTACCCGTGCGAGGCTGCCTCTCAAATATCGGATAATGACGCCCTTCGCCGTCACTGCTGCGTTGCCGTTCATGAACTTTGCTGCGTTGAAGTTTGGCGAGGCCGGTTTCGACGTGCTCAAGTATGTTGACTGCTTCTTCCGATGAGTCGATATTGATCTTGTGCCGCAGGTCGTTAAGGCCATTGATACTCGCGGTTCTTCCCGGGCAGCAGAAGCAGCTTGACAAAATCAAGGCGACGCGCGAGCGGCTTTCCAATCAGGTGTCGGATGTTATCAATAACTTTGGCCCAAAGATCTTCGACGACTTCAAAGAGGTGAGGTCC